GACTAAAAACAATATAAACATCTTTACAATTTTAGTTTTAATGTCGTATACATAAAAAGCGACCGATTATCGAACAGTAAACATAATGTAAAGATTTGCTCAGGCGAGATTTAAAATCAAGAATAATGTGAGAAAGTAAATCTGCTATTGGATGAAAAGACACTAGATAAAAGAATTTTAAAGCTCTTGTCTTTGAACAGAATAAATATCGTTTTACTAATAATCTATTCTCAGTCGGTCACTGCAGCCTACAAACAATAGTTGTGATCATTCAGCACCATTGAGTTTATCCGATGAGCATGAATAGGTATTAAAAAGTATTACTGACATCTAATTATGATGGCATTCGTCTCTCTCGTTTATATTGTTTTTAGTCATTTTCTTATTGTGCTATCGTACGGTTTATTATTAAATATTCACTAGTTGTTACTATTCCACTAGATGCTATCTCACTACAAGGTTTATAAAAATATTTCATAAGTTGAATACTAGAATGTTTCTGTTAAAATTTCTTTCAGTTATTGTTTTAATCAACAGTTTGGGAATGTTCTTGACAGTGATCGTTGATGTTCACAAATTCAAGAATAAAAAATAAAGAGGAATGTATAACAGAATGATTAGTTCATCATAATTAGTTCTATACTCAAAATATTCAAAAAAAACACTAACCCTAACAATTTTAGGAAACTAAAATAAAAAACAAATTCAAGTCAGACATATAATAGTCAACCAGCATATAACCTCCTTACCTAGATAGTCGTCCATTAATGTGCCAACGGCGAACTAAAACAAATAAAAATATTGATTAATACGACGTGTTCGTTGGTGAATGAATTGAAAATACTGACAAATTCTTGAGCATCAACACGATTTCCAGCAATTTTTACACGTATCCCATCGTCTGGTTGAATCACGGTGTCCTGAAGATAATTAAATAAACTATCATTTAAAAATGAGTAATTCATTTTTAAAACTTACATCATCTTTCTTTTTGTAACACGGTGGATTTGCATTAGGATCAAATTCCATATCTCTAGGAATGCTCTAAATAAACGGGACAAATTCGAAAATCAGCTCGGTTTATATGTTTTTTGTTTTCGAACATACATGTCTTGATATAAAACATGTCAATGGTCCAATCTTACAAAATATTCCAACCTAAAACATAAATAAAATGTATTTTTTCGGAACGAAAATCTATCTAAGAATAAAATGGCGTTCATGATAAAACTACATCGTCTTAAAAGAATAGGTGCCATTCATCTTACAAAACGAACAGCCCTTCTACAACGAAACTTGAAGTAAAAATGGTACATAATTTTTCTTACGACATGCAATAACAGCTTTAAAAGGAAATAAAGAATATTTTCATTCGTTAGAAACTCATTTTGAATATTGGTCTATTTCTTGTGTTCTTCTATCGAAATCAAACATCTACTTACTTTTGTAACCTGTGTTACTATCGCCTCTACAACTTCATGTTTAAATGGACGAAAGACAATTGCACGATATTTGACTGGAAACGTGACATATCCACGACCTATACAACAGAAAATATTCATTTCTATCAACGTTTTAAGTATAACTAGTACGCACCAGGTTGAATCATTCCGACTCCAATACTATCTAATGATGTCACAGCAATAACATAACCATACCTAAAAACGAGAAACGATTACTTAAAAGATACGAAACTAAAAGTCATAATAATACACACTTTCCAATACATTTTCCTTCAACTTCGTTGAACAACATATGCCGCACAGTTTTCAATAACTGTGGTCCAAAATACCTTGGATGCAGTAAAATTTCGTGTTCCAAACTAACCTAAAGAAGGAAGATTTCATATCACAAAAAGTATTTTCGATTTTCGTTATTTAAAACTACAAAATTTATTCCAGACGTGCATATTACATAGAGAAACAGTTGTACGTCAACTTAGACGATTTCCGGTTATTAGCGCTAGGAATGCATACTTACATGAAAAAACATTTTTAGAATTTGTCTGAATTTGAAACAAATATGCCAGTGACAAAATTGGATTCGAGCTGTTCCCTTGACTTCAGTTTAATCTAAAGTCATATTTCACACAATAGTCTAACGTTGCGTATCCGCAAAACATGGACAAGATGGTCGATAAGTATTTTCCAGACTCACCAATCAAAAGCAAAAATAAAATAGAGAAGCGATGATATAGCTGAAGAAACGGCTCCGAAAGGTTAATAAAGCAGTGAGGCTGATAACCGCGAACCAGATCGAAATATTTTATTTGAATCAAATAGACGTCGCACAGTATTGCGCAAGCAGTGGGAAAGTCATAAGGCCATCCACGGTGTAGTGAGACGGCATCTATCGCCTTAGAGTAATATATGATATTTGGTTTAGTTTAGTCAATGAAAATATAACTCTTGGACCAATACGAATAGTTTTTCCGTTTTTTTCAAATTTCGACGGCTAGGTGGCCATTTTATTTCTGACATGGCAGCATGTATTAACAGGTATAAGTGCAGCAGTTGATCATGTTTCTTTATGTGCTAAAAGGTAGATAGGTATAGTAAATAGTTTCGTCCTATACACGCTAAAGTCAAGAAATCAAGCGAATCATAAGGTGCCAAAAATTCAGTACATTTTTTATATATGCTTGGCTAAAGCGCGTGACTTCAACCTCGATCAAACATCAAATTCACACTCAGTTTTTAATGCTGAATCTGAAAATGATACTTTCAATATGTTTGAAGAACGAAAATGAAAAAAATTTGAGTTTTTTGAAACCAAAAATTTAGACCTTTCAGTTCTTCGACATGAAAATAACATTAAAACACATATTTTCTGAATCAGTTCGACGCGCCCTATCCAACCATGTATAAAAATGCAAAAACAAAAACCTACTGAATTTTCGAATTTCCGGCACCTTAGATGGGGGTTGCCTTATAAACTTTATGTGTTGCGGTATATATAGTAACCGTTCTCTCTTTCTCTTGCAATGTATATTGGTACAAATTCCTACAATCAAAAAGTAATACTTGATCGCTCTCTGTATTAAAAGGGTGAGGCCTGAGCTAAAATAAATACATAAAACTTGCAACACTTTTAATAGGCGAAAAAGTGATTGCAAATGTGATGAAGCTAAATTTGGTACGGCTAATATCTCTTATATGTCGATTGCAGCACTATAATGTGACTGCTAGGCGTCGCTCAGTGCAACGAATAATCAATCATTCGACCAATCAAATTGTACAGCTTAAAAGTTTATTTTAATCTGAATTACAGACAAGATTTTTTTTTTGTTTTTATTTGTTTTTGCAGATAATATAAATCACATGTCGCCCTGCTTTGCTTCTAAGCCTGTACAGACCTAATAGCTGAAGTATGAGATATCCATTTATGTACATGTGAAAAGAAATTGTCAAACTTGCGAGGGATGGCTAAGGCTTTCGCCATTGTAGATTGCAATTATATTATAGTTATAAACACGTCATATTTTCGTCCTAATGAAAAATATCTTCAGTGGGTGTATTGAATCTGGTAATGAAATATAATCTGTTTAACAAATATCTGACTTATGCGTTAAGTTTTTTTCTTAAGAAATGACACGCGATAATTTATGTGTTGTTGTGTATGAGTTGCCTTTAGATGTATCTGGATGAGCAGAACAAATCTCTCTCCTTTTCACTTAATTGTAATTCATTAACTTTATCTTTATTTTTACGAATTTTAGATAATTAATCTTACTTTTGTTTAAGCAAAAGAAAAATACCGTTATCAGGCTACTTCTGATATATTCACGATGAATGCCGTCGATGTTGTTAAATTTTGCACTGATTATCCCGCATTGGTCATTGCCGTTATTGTTGGAATTTTTCTTTGGTCGCTAGTTATTTTGACACTTATTAAAGGAACACCAAATGCTGAAATAAAGCAGGAATAAAAAAACATTTTTTATAGGAAGTTGTATATATTCTGTTGATGTAAATGCTTGAAGAATGAATTAGCAAACTTTTTATTAGATACGAAAATTCAGATACTGGTTTGTGTCCATTTTGCATATTTTTCTGATTTTTGATCAGACCTTTTTCTGTGTATTAATAGTGTCATTTTTGTAGAATCTGTTGTGCACAAAACAGTTGTAATAAGATGATAATTTTTTTTATTATTTATTTTAATGCAATATTTTAAATTTTTATATAATGATCTGACTGTCTAGCTGAAAAATTATTAAAAAAAAACAGATGCTTTTTTTTACTTAATCGCGAGATGGTTTACACTTAGACTTATAAAACATTCTTTGTTTTTCTGTTCACGTACACAACAAAAGATATCAGAAAATTTGTCGTCATACATGCACATTATTTTTGAACGATCATTATTATATAATTATATTACTTGGTCTCTACATGTTGAAAAATGTCATCTGTGGTTGTTGAGTAATATGAACTGGATTTTGTTGTTGTTGAGGAACAGACATGCTTTGGTGAGACAGCGTGTTCAGGTTTAAAATTGGTGGATCTTGTTGTTGTTGTTGTTGCTGCTGCTGGAGATGACTGATTATTTGAGGTTGTTGTTGATGGTGTATGCAAGTGTGTTGTGTTTGTTGTTGAAATTGAGTATGCGGCTGTGTTTGTTGAGCATTAAACATATGAGGTGGAATTGTTGTCTGAATAAAAGTGGGTGTTTGTTGTTGTCCAGTAAACATTTGTGGTTGTTGAAATTGAGTAAAATTAGTCGAATATCCTGTATGAAGTTGATTTGTTGGGAAAACTGTATTAGTCATTAACTGTTGAGGAGCAAGGTTGATCGATTGTAATGAAGATGCTAGTTCACCATCGAATTCTTTATTTTTGACCATTTTTCGATGATTATGCCGATTTGAATGAAGTCGGATGGGTCTATGAAGAATATTGACAGAAGATATTTGAAGAACATTTGTATCTTACTTCGATTGTGTAATCGCTGGTGATCCGTCAAGAAATTTTCCCTTGTTAACAACACGGACATGCTGTGATGGTACTTCAATGACATTTTCAATAATTTCTTGTGGTGAACGTCGAACATAGATCTGGCAGAAGAAGAGAAATGTACGCGAAGTACTCACAATCTTTTCTTGTTCAGTATACCTGTTCAATTAATTTTGGTTCAGATGGTTTTAGACGATGAATAATTCGTTTTAACTTTGGTGGAGGTGTTGGAAGACGATAAACTAAAGAAAATTATCCTTTGAGTTTTCTTAAATCCTTTCTATTGTGTACTCTTACTTTCCCGATAATGTCCATCACTAATGCGTGTGACACTAATTGGTTTACCCAATTGCTGATCATAGTCAATCTTGCCATTATCATTATAACTGTTATGATCTTCTTGTTTAAATTTCGGATATGCATTTAATCTTGGTTGTTTGAGTGTTTGCTGAAAACGTTGAATCCCTTTAACCGAACGTGTTGTAATTAATTCATTATTACCATAACTTTTAGCTAATAAATTGTTGTAATCTAACAATAATTTTAAAATGGACGTATTATTTGGACAATTTCGTTCTCGTTGATGTAGCTGCTGTTGATCATGTAAACGTAAAATTGGCCTTTCACGAGTAATAAGTCGACCCACATATTCGTATTCAGATGAATTTGATCTGTTAAAATGGAAAAAGTATAGAACATTACAAAAAGATGATCTATACCAAGAATTTGGATGATCTTTCATTTCTATTCTACTACCTGGAATAAGTTTCATTTGCAAATGGTTTATTTTTAGCAGATGATATTTTTAGAATATTGTTTTTCAGTTGTTGATATTGAGAATTTCTGCTCGAAGTGTGACTTGTAACTGACATGTTTTTGAACTTGGCTAATTAATACATCACCATCTTAACGGTGAAAGAAAGATGTTTTCACGAGTAGCTGCATACTTACATCCTTCCATCTAGACTGTTATGGTCCATTGAACATTATTTTTTCTTTTCTTTAGTAAAAGTCATAGGTGAAACTCGGTTACATTATTAAATCATTTTCTTTTTCTTATCTATCAGATAATTTTGTGAACGAATAGAAAGCGGATTGGATTTGTTTCGTGGACTTGACAGACGCGAATATAACTAGACCGAATATTTTCATCTTAACTACTGAAGTCACTATTCAGAAACGAATCATATAGTGATAAATTGCTTTTCTCCACAATTATTTTCTCTAAACTTCAATATTTGTAACACACTGAATTATATGTGTTGACACATTCAATCGTACATGTTCAGAGTATGTTTTTAGCCGTTGTCTAAATAAAATTTATTTCAAAAATGTTTTTCTTTGTAGATATTACTTAACCAAAATATTTAAATCCGTTTTAATAAAAATACTTATTATGGTCTGATTGATCATTAATGGTATGCAGTTGTATAGTGAAAAAAACGAATACATCTAAAATAGTTTTTTTTCTATATTGTTTTAGCGGCATCCTGGGTTGCACGTCGCGTTGGTAAACTGGTTCGAGAATCGCCAGCATCAGTACCAGCAGCGGAGGTAACTCAATGATGTTCGTTGAAAGGTGGTAAAACAGGCCAGTACGGTTCATCGAATGTACAGAAAAAATCTTACGAGCAACTACAACCAAATGGTGTTGTAGGTGAGTAAAATCGTTTATAGATGAAGAGTGTGATACAGATGTAAAAGATAATATACGTCATTGTTAGAAACTAAAGTATTGGTTACGTAGCTTGTGTGGGTTTAACAGGCATTATCCCATTCATACCTTCTTCTTTCACTATAGATGCTCATTATCGATCGAACGCTGTCCAACCACCAGATAAATCTTCAAATATATAAACACGTAATAAATAAACGAAGAAAATGTGTGCGATCATTTTTGATTTATGATCATTGTATCTTAAAACCACATCTTAGTTGGCCGGCTACAATGGGAAACTGACATCAAAATATATCATCGATCCAAAATAAACACATATCTTTGTTTATTTATTCAGAATGTATTAAACTTTTTTTATTTTTTATATATTCTAATTTTTAAAATAAATTAATTAAGCAAAACTGTTTATGTTGTATTTTTTTACCCAAATTAAAAATGGAATTTGTTCATTAATGCCTAACAAAACTATCATGAACGTAATCTATCGGATGTTAATAGTAGTTTCTCAAATTCTAGAGAAATAATTTATTTACTATATTTTCAAGATCTATGTGTATGAAAAATTGGAAATATGAATTGTACCACTAGTGTAATATTTCGAATCGTTTGTCAGCATAAATTCAAACAGTAAGTCCTTTGTGACTAGATTAGATAAAAAGAGGAATATATAACAAGCTCGTTAGACTTTTGCAGTAAAGATGGTATCATAGTAGCTTCAGACAAAATAGTTTTTCATTTAGCAGATGTTCAATAACAAAACAAAATATTCTTCTGGTAAATTATTCAACTGCGGCACCTGTTGTTCAAGGACATGATCAAATTAGTCCAAAATTTTTAACAACTGATGTTATGAAAGATCCGTCAAAAAGGTAAACTAGTTGAATACTGAATTTGAACCTGTTAGTAGAAAAATAAAGGAAAATAAAGCAAAAAGTATCTTTTATCAATCTTCATTTCAGTCAATTTCAGAGCACTGGATATTTATATGCCAAATCGTCATATACTCTATGAAGATGAATTGAAGGTAATCACTGCTAGATAGTTCGATAAGCTCATTACTTTCTTCTCTATAATATTTTATCTGACTTTATAGTTAAAACAACGTCAACTTGAAAGTACCTTACAAACTGTTGCAAAAACATTATATTATGATCGTAAACTTCATCCAAGTATTCGTAAGCTAATACGAGCAAATGATTCGAATTTATGTCCAATTCGAGATATCGAACAAACGGTAGATATTTTAAACTTTTAGCATCATAATACGTGTAGTTGTATATTTTCTTATCTATTATAATAGTCATCGACCCACGAATATATGACATCATGTATGGCTGATTTGGGTAAAACACGTTCGGGTGAGATTGCATTGGGTTTGGCAAATAAACCAATTTATGAAAACGACGGTAAACAATATCTGTTTATTTACTCTGCTATTATGCTGATCTTATATATTCATCGTTTCGTTAGATGATAAAGATAAATATATGATACATGTTTTACCAATGTACGATGTTGATATCTACAAAATGAGAGATCGTCAAATAGTCAGAGTAAGTAAAAAAAAGAAAGGAACGTAAGAATTCATTAATGATTCTCAAATTATTTTGTCAAATAGCATTATGAAGAATTTCTTCGACAAGAGGTAAAAAATGTATCGTCCGTTGATGATGTCCTACATCACTGGCGTCCAATAAAAATTTTTACAAATAAAAAGGATGAAAAATTAGTTACTATTGGTTATCACGATGGAAAACATGAAAATGTGAGTATTACAGCTGTTCAAAATTAATATCTGACATATTTTGTTTTTCCCTAGGAGAATCCAAAACAACGTTTATTTGATTATTTTGATAATGGACCGGGTAAAGAATGCAAAATTGATTATCTATTGTATGAGAAAAGGTATGTTGTATAATGTGAAATATTTTGTTTTGTAGAAGACCTCATTCACTCCTTTAGAAGAATAAAAGGATTGAAATTTATACTCTGGGCACTGTTCAAGATTACTCTAGTAATAACAACTAGCGATTTAGATACTTATTCATACTTTGCATCTTGAGTACTGTGTACGAAAGCTACCAGTATTTTTTCGTTCCTTTTATTTCGTTGGGCATCTGTCTTCTACATGACGCTAATATCATTTTGAATGTCTTTATCAATCGATAATTTCATTGTTAAAGGTGCAAAAGACAGTGCAATTTGTGAATCTGTATGTGAACTTATTTCTGCCGTTCGACACTGTGTGACTGTAGTGTAGTGATCATTGTGACTGATGAAGGGCTAACTGATCGCTGTCTTTTATCTCGTGTAGTACTTTTGTGTACTAATCGTCTTTTACGTACTCTGTTAGCTGTATTGTGAGACATCATGCGAACGACCGACTACAGGTTAAATTAGGAATAGAATAAGAAAATTATAAATGTACGTTAAAATATTGTCAATGAGAAGTACTATTGATAAAATGTCTTCAAGCAGTGGATGCATGAAAGAATGTCTTTTTCTAAGAATAAATGATTATAAAAGGGATATTTACTAAAACTAAGTTTAAAGATGAGTACACAGTTCAAATTTTTTATTCTCAGTCAGAAATGATGATTGCTCTTACAAAATCTTTTTCTTTTTTTTTAATTATCTCTATTATTATAGAAATCAACGATGGCCTATGATTATTGACAGTGCTAAATATGAATTGATAATTGGTAGTGAAACAAAACCATTTTATCATCAATTATTTGGAATGAAGTATCATGTCGATATTAACTCATTTGGAATAAGAAATATTCCATCGTACGAAACAATCTATGCTGAAGCATTAAAACTGTGTAATTTAGAACCAGCATCATCTATATTTTTACACTATTTTTGTGATATAGGTACAATGAAAAACATTCTTTCATCTAAACGAAATAATAATATTATATCTTGTTTTTTTCAGGTGTGTTACCAATTTTAGCTAGTCAAAATGTGAAAGAATGTTACGCATATGATCCGAATAATAGTGCAATTCAAACATGCCTTTTAAATCAAAAATTGTATCGTACGTAATGTATCTGATGAACGTACTAGTATAAAATCATCGTTATTATTCTAGCTCACACTAATGAAATAAAATTTGACTTATGTCGTTCACATGAGAATCTCAAAGAAAAACTTGACAATATTGTAAAAACCTTAACAAAAGGAACATCATTAACATGTGTTTTTGGACCACCAAGAATGGGTGTGGATCGAGCAACTCTTAAACAAAGTATAATTCTCTTTTTAACTATATTAGAATGAAGAATTAACATTTTATTATTTATATTTTTTTTCTCACGTACAGTACACCATATGGCTAGTGTTTTACGTCAATGTGAAAGTGTCGATCGTCTAATTGTCATTTTAAAGAATCTTAATTCACCCACTTTACATCTATTATATACGTAAGATTTTCTTTATGATAATTTTAATTTATATTCAATACTATACGTATTATCTATTCGTTTTTAGTTTGTCTGGTGGTGAAAGTAATGCTCAAAAAATTTATGGTCATCCATTTAAACCTGTGCTCTGTATTCCTTTTGATTCAAATGCAAGAACGGGACATCTTCCCGATGTAATTATGTTGTATGAAAGACATTTATAGATATTTGCTATTACTATTGTTTCTTTTTTTTGTTGAAAACATCTTATTTGTCTCTAAAAGAAAAAAAAATGAATGAATTATTCTTAAACTCAATGATGTAATTAATCGAATGAAAGCAAAAATAGTACGAAATGGTATGCAGATTTCCTCAACAATTGCCGAGAGATAGTTCTATTCCATTTTCAATATTTTTCGTGCATTGATTCACTTTTAACAAATATGAACATTATGCAATGGGCTGAGGTCACAGCAAAACGTTTTGAAAATCGGCGAAGCTCAAAAATATTTTCTTCTCCTCTACCTATCGAATTTTTCGTGTCAAGCAAAATTAAAGTCGATCTTATTTTGAACGCGAATAAGATAACAGGTAAAAGCAATAAATAACAGACATGATCTAAAAGCATAAAAAAAACTATTTTCTCTATTCACTTTTCAATCCAAAACTGAAACAAATGTTGTTCAAGTTAAGAGCAATCCATTCTCTTCTCATATAAATGGGTCAAAACACACATTTAAACAAAATGTGAAAGCTAAAAATAGATCGGTCTCCAGAATCCATCGCCTATGATTATCTGTTCTATCCCGGACACTGGTATATATCATTTTAATTGTTATGAGTAGGAAATATAGATCTAACCATTTTCCAGTAGCTCAATTTTGTACTTTTAAAAACGAAAATATATTCATTTCTTTTTTCCTGGAAACTTGACATTGTTTTTTTTTTTCGTTTTTGTACTACTATATCTTATTTTTCGTACTATTTCATATGTATTTTCTATTAACTATTATTATATTTTCTTTCTCTGTTGATTGGGACAAAGGTCACATTTATACAGTAGATTTCAAATGTTCTACAAAAATGACATCACCTGACATTGTTCAGATCTGTTTAAAACAATTTTCATTAAAATTTTGTTTCAATTATTTCTGTGAATTTTATCCATCAATGACATCAAGGTTAAAAATGCAAAAGAAATTATTACAAATATTTTTATTAATTCCCAAACTTTTTAAACAATATGCTATTTATGATGTGAAAAGGAATTCATTCAATTTTAAGAAATTACTTCGAAGAAAAAAACGATTTTTATTTTCATCAGAATTTGATGCTAATTCATTGAAAGACATTATAAATGGATTTGAACAGTCTAACTATGACATTGATTATTATGATAATGGTAAAGAGACTGAGTCACAAGTCACCATTATAGCCCAACGAAAAACAACTGAAAAAAAACGAAAGAAAACTACAAAATCGACCACAATCAAAGCTATTGTACGATCAAAACATTCGTCTGATACCGTATTCATTATCATTATTATTGTTGTACTGTTAGTTGCTATATTTCTTCCTATTATAATTGGTGGATACATTTTCTATCTGAATTGGAGTAGACAAGGACGAATTTGTAAACTAGTTCCTATTGAATTTCTCGCAAAAGACTCCATCAGTGAATTGACACCGTCGACAAGCACGCAGTCATCAATAATAAAAACAGTAATAGAAGAGTAACGACAATAACAAAGATATACATTAATTTCTTCTAATGCAACTCAATATGTTTATGGAGTCGTTTATTTCCACGACGAACGTTATAGACTATGAAAACTTAATTTCTTTTGTGCTTGGTAATTTACTGTTCTATATATTGAAAGGATTTATAGTCGTACAAAAATAGAAAAAAAAAAGATTAATTTTAGCAATAAAAAAACAACAATTCTACTATTTGGGCTCATTTTTATCATTTTCTAGATCAAATACATCGTGTACACTTTCTTTAGCATTCTCATAATATTTATTCATTTTTTTAATGGGTGATTGAAGAAATCCTTGTGAATCCTCGGATTTTTTATCTTTTTTTTGATTGTCATCGTCATCTTCTTCTTCTTCTTCTTCCCCATCACTATTATCATTATCGTCATCATCACTGCTTTCTTCTTCACTATCAGTCTCATTGCCCGTTTGATCTTTCTCATCATCATTCGTTTGTGTTTTCTGTTGTTGATTTAATTTTGAATTTTCAAGTATATCTTCATTCGCTTCATTGGTTTCTTCGGCTATTTTCTTTGACGAAATGTCATCATTTGGATGTTTTAAAAATTTTTCTGCTTCTTTTTTAACCGTTTCAACGATTGGTTGCTGTATAATAGTTTCACCAACATCATTTACTTTTTCAACAACATTATTTACTTTTTCAACAACATCATCTTTTACTTTATCAACAACATCAGATAATTTTAAATTTTCACGAACGGGTACCTTTGTTTCGGTAGGGTTTGTTTTAGAAGTTGTTTCAGATGATTCTCGATTATTATTATTGGATTCAACAGGCGTCTTATCAGTGTTTTTGGTTTTTGTTTGATCATCAGTAATAATCTGTTTCAAATGTAGATGATTTGGCGGTTTTGGCGGTTCAACTTTTTCATTAGTGAATGTTTGAGGCACGCCATGATCAATGGTTGATTTCACTGTATTACTACTCTGTTTCCCACTATCAATATCAGATGATGTTCCAATTGATGTTTTTGTTTTATTTCGATGTCGTGAGGGTTTTGTTTCTTTTCCAATCAGATGAAAACGTTTTTTCATATTCTTCTTTTTTGTTTCAACACCAATGACCTTTTTCACAGGTGTTTCTTCTTCATCGTAATGTTGTACCTGTTCATCGATCAGTACCTTACGACGATGAGGTGCTTTCTTCCGTTTTGGTGTAATGGTATTACTACTACTTCCGCTAGCATCAGCAGTGTCATGTTTTGGAACTTGAGTTGTTGTAGATGTTGGAGGTGTGGCGATCGTGGTGGCTGTTGTTGCTTTTTTCATGATTTTTTTCAATGTTTCATCAATCGGTTTATCATTATCATCATCGGATACGAGTCTCGAGGCTTTTGTACGAATAAATTGTTTGGCCCGTTGCTCTTTTTTTGTTCTCAACTTCTTCTTTTGCACTGGTGGTTTCTCTTCTTGTTTTTGTTGACTTACTTCATCATCTGTATCATCACAAAATGGCATGCCTATGGGTAATTGACAGAGAGACTTATGAAGTGCTGGTAATAGTTCATGAAGAACATAATTATAGGACATGAAAAAATATTCATAAAACGGTGTCTCTTTTATATCTTCGATATTCAAAATTTTTTCAATTTGTTCTTCTATTTGTTTCATTTTTTGTTTTGGTTTACGTTTTCTCGTTCGAGTTGGTTCGGGTGTTGTTTCATTCGAAGGCTTCTTACTTCTTAAACGTTTACCTCCATCTGTTCGCGACGTCGCATTCCGAGTTTCATCTAATTTTCGTCGTATACGGTATCTGTAGGCCCATCCTACCTCTTTTTGTTCCGGTGTTAAATTAGCAAGAATCGGATCCAATTTATCCTTATCATTAATAACTTTTGCAGATAAAGTTTTTTTCGTTGAAGTTGTTCCGTCGAGTTTTTCTTGTTTTTGTGCTTCTAACATTTTTGATACTCGATATCGATATTTCCAACCAACGATCTTCTTTTTCTGATCTTCTAGTAGTTGTTGTTGCTGTTGATCAACATCCGGTTTTTTTGTTATTGGTTTTTTCAATCTTTTTCCTCCAGGAGCATCCGTTGTTACAGGTGTTACTAAAAGTAGCTTGGTTTTAGATTAGAATAAAAAACAACATTTATCATTCTTACATGGTTGTTGTCGTTTAAGATCGTCTAATTTTCTACGAATTCGATATCTATATTCCCATCCTACGTTTTTCTCCTCCTTTGACAATTTTCCTAAATCTGAATTCAAATCATTTTCCCATTCAATGCATTCATCATCATCATCTTTTTTGGAGGCGGAACCATCTAACTTTCTGGCTAATTCTAATTTATCATCTAATTTTTTCTTTTCCTTAGCTTTTCGTCGTTCTTCTTCATCATCAATATAAACACCATTTCGTTTAGCTTCTAACATTTTTGATACTCGATAACGATATCGAAATCCCACATTTGGTTTGATGACCTAAAATGATAATTAATAAATTATCTTCAAAGAATATTTACATATAATTACCGTTTCTTCTTTATCTTCTTTTGATATAGTATTTTCTTTTGATCCAGCAATTGTTCGATCTTTTCTTAATTTTTTTCTACCACTAAGTTCTTGTGGTGTTTTACGTTGAATAGCTTTTAGACCTTGTTTTAATCTATCTTGATCTTCTCGTATATTTTGTCGTAATGAATCAATATATCGACTAACACGATAACGAAATTGCCAGCCAACACGAGGTTTATAAAGACCATTTTCATATGATTTAACAATATCTTGTGGCTCTGTTGGCTCTTCAAATAAATCTTTCTTCTTCTTTTTTCGAATATATGCTTTTTCTTCTTCATCTTGATCAATGTCCTCTTCCTCATCAAGCTCTTCAGCTTCTTTCTCTTCTCGTATTGTCTGTTTTTTGGCTAATAAGTGACGTTTCATAAATAAATTATCTAGTTGAATAGCTGATGCTTTTGGTACAAATTCTTGCGTTATCAGAACAGAATCAACTTTTTCATTTATATTTAACATCGATGATTGTCTAAAATGAGAATACTGATGGTTATAGATACGTTTTTTTTCTAGATACTTAATAGTGTACTCACTGATCAAAGATGCCATCGACGTGAATGTTATCATAATGTTGTAAAAGTTTTCGTTTATGAACTCGATTGGTTGCTTGATTAACTGATTTTTTTTTTTTACCCTGTTTATTCTTTTGTTTGCCAGCTGATCGCTGTTGTGCATCAATATATCGACTAATTCTATATCGATATTGCCACTGAAAATCAATTTAAATAGAGTATAAATTAATCACGTTTAATAGATTAAAAATATTCTTTAACTTACTCCAACTCGGGGCTTATCTACTACTGCATTGTTTGCAGTTGTTTTATTTTGTTTTTGCTTTTTATTTTTTGTTGTTTTTGACGATACAACGGCTAATAATCCTCGTTTGGGTACACTTGATGAGTAAATAAGATCATAATCCAATTGTCGATTATCATTTTCACATTGATTATGATCAATACATTGTTTATTAATTACTTTGTCTAAATGTACTAACTTTTTCTCACCTAAATCATTCAAATATAAATCAATTTCATAATCTGTAATATCATTATAAACAATTGTATCGTGATCATTGTCTAGAGTAGATAATATTTTTCGTTTTTGATGTGGTACATCATCGGTTTCTTGTCGTTCACCTTCTTCTAATACATGATTTCGTGAAACAAAAGTACTTTCTGTAGTATCATTTTCTAAAATATCATCTGCTAATTGAAACATATTTTTAACAAAATGATAGGCACGTCCAACGACATTTTCATTTTTACTACTACCATTTAAAAATTCCAAATCATCAACTGGAATATGTTGATCACCATTATTCATCACTATTTCTCTATCAACTACCACTGGCACTTTTTTCTTTGGAGTTGATGTCGTCGATCGAACTGGTGGTGGAATTTCATTTACTTGCTCCTTTTTCTTTTGTATCGTATTTTGAATGAACGCTGGTACAATAGGAGTATTATGATCGTTCAATTTTTGTTTGCTCTTTTTCTCTTCTTCTGCAGCTGCTACTGTAGCTGCGATCGTCTTTAGTTTTGGTAATTTTTTTTTTCGTGAATGTTTATCTTCTTCTTCTTCTTCTTCACGTTTATTTTTTCGTTTGGAAGACGATGAAGAATGTTTTTCTTTCGAGCTTTTAGTTTTTGTTGATAATTTTGTAGAATTTTTAACTTTTGAAGATTTTTCAGCAATATCATTATTATTATTATTAATATGTAAAATTGCACGACAACGGTCTTTATCTAGATCATTAATCGTTGCACTAGACTTTTTGGATGATTTTCCTTTTACGGATTGTCCTTTTAATAATGTTATTGTACTATTGGGTTTATTTTTTGTTACATTTCGTTTATGATGTTGTGGTTTGAGAAGTTTTTTCGCATTTTTCTTCTCTTCTTTTAAACGTTTTAATTCTTGAAGTTCTTGTTTAGTATATAATTTTGACTTCAATAATTTACTATATGAGCGAACTTTACGACCAAGTTCACTGGCTGTTTGTGGACGAATATATACCGTTAAACCGGTACTAGAGGAGGATGACGGCTTTGTATATTGTTGTTGTTGATGTTCTTTTGGTTTAGCATGTGAAAAATGCTCGGACGATTTTTTCTCGTTACTACCACCGAGAAAAAATAGACGACGACATGTCGGACATGTGGAAGATAATGTCTAAAAATGTAAAAAGAGTAGAATGAAATTGTACTAAGAATAAATTAAGGTGTAAAAATGCTTACAGTGTATTATGAAAACAATGACTTATAAAATAAGATACGATAAAGCAGCTATGTGAGAGAAGCAAGTTTGGATGAATCCGTATAAAGCAGTCCTATGTGAAACATATATTCTTACAATTATCGTTTGAAAAAGCGCTATGTTCTTCTATTTTCCTCAATGTTTGAAACTAGTAGTCAAGTAGACAGTTTCCAAAATCTCAAAATAAGAAAATGTGCCATTCAACTTAAGTTCACTGCAATCATTTTGAAAAGATCGAAATTAGATCGGTATATCGAACGACAGATGAGAAAATAAACTTTATTTTATTTAACAGTTCATATTTTTTACTGATTTATTTGCTTTTCGTAAGAAGAAAACCTGTCCATATCAATTAGTTTTTAGTTGAACATTTGCAAATTTGATAGTCACATGATACTTACAACATAGCTTGTTTCGTTGTCAGGTAATGCATATAACGAGAGAACAACATAAAGAAATATTATAAATAGCGTTGTCATTTGCCGCTTGATATACATGTTGTTGTTGTTGTTGTTGTGATTATGGCAAGAGGTTTGTAATAAAAAAAGTATAAATACAAAAAAAAAAATAATAAACTAATAACTATTTTTTTCCTATGTATGAGAAATTTAGGTTGGCACGATGATATCCTCCTTATTTGTTTGTCTGGAGTAAATTAGAACCATCGTTCAAATTGTGATATGATTATTGGGTTTTTTTCTTGTTTTTTGCAAGAACTATAATAAATATCTTCCAGAATCATAATTGAATGGATTTAGAGTCTAATGACACTGTCTTCTTATGTGATATGTGTGCGGATTTTGTTCCTTTTCCTTAGTATATATATATAATATATAAATAAATATAAAATATATCAAGAGACAAAAGAAAAAGAAATTCGGTAAAAATGCTACTACATAATAATGATAATAATAATCATGTTAAACTAATAATCATAATAGACTGGTGCCATAAATACGTACATAGAGGAAAAAACACCTTCAAAACAAAAGATTTATCTCTCTTTATTGTTTTTCTTCTAGCTTACGATTCTTTTTTTTGTAATTAACAAATAGCAAGCAAATAGTAACAAAAGAAATGATAATAATAATAATAACAACAACAACAACAACAACAAAATACAGCTATTATTTAAGAGAAGAAGAATATTATATATAATGGATGATGCGATATCAATGTTAATAGTAAGGATTCCGGTCCTTCGTTCTTTTCTTCTTCTTTTTTATGAAACAATAAAAAATCTGGAAATGCTTTTCTCGTCGTCGTTCTTCTATTTTTTTTTTGGTCATTAACCAAGCGATGACAGCAACAACCACCTCTCTCTTTAAGTAACCACACTGCTAACATTTTCATCAGTGATATAGAAGGATATTTCTGGGTATGGCAAAAAACGTTTTTTATTATATATAAAGGATAGAAGGGATATATGTACATATTTACAGTACATATTACTGGTATAAAAAAAAGCATCTTGTGGCTTTTTCCCCTTCTTTTCTTTCATATATGCGGCATAGTACACATTTTGTAGCCGTGGTAATAATATCAAGTTTCTCACAGACATCTGACATGGAAAATGAGTTGTTACTATTTAAGATATTTTGAATGGTGTGGCAGACACATGTGTAGGATGTTCGTGTTTGTGTAATCAAACGTTTAACTCAAAACTTATCAGTCATAAATTAAGAAACAAAACCTGTCATCATTGTAGGTAAACAATATAGCAATCATACGACCTACATACTGACATGTCTAACGAGCATTCAATTTTTCAGCACATCCCAATCATTAACAGAAAGCTCATTACGCATATTATTATCTATTTCATTTTTTTCTTCTTTGCAAAGTAAAGAATTTCTTCATATCTGAAAGCATATCTGATACAATAATCTTTTGTTCATATGTCAAAAATCTGCTGCTTTAATAAAAAGAAGTTTCGTAAATTGTTCAGTTATCTTTCTTATCTATTTGTGAAAACCGTAATGAATCAGGTTGTAGTACACACCCATCATATTATCATCTATTAGAATTATTTTTTACAGACGTATATTGTTTAATAATTTTAAGTTAGTAATACTGAATATGCATATAACAGTTTGCTCTTTTCATCGTTATTGACTAGCGATTCTTGTTCATATCTAATAATATTATTCATATTTTCGATGATAACTGTCGTGATCGCCTATTCTTCGTAATATAATTGTTTTTTTCAGCTCTACTACCAATTTCAAAATATAATAACTCTAGTTGTGTTTTGAATAATTCGAGAACGATGATAGATACAGGATTGCGACTTTCACTCGCCGAAAGAAGTAACTTGATCGCATATTTTTTAACAGAAGTAGTCTTCAAAATTGTATAATTTCAAGATCGATAACCTCACGTGTCTTCTTCAAAATACGAATCCTTTGACCTACACATTTTTATTATTCGACCGGATTTCATAGGACTGGTACGAGATCACGCGTGTGAACTGTAAAAATGAATAAAACTCTAGATGAAGTTTTAGCATGTGTGCAGTTTAATTTGTTCTTCATGATGATAGTGCGAATCAGCAAAGAAATCGTCGTCATAGGCTAAATTTCTAGCCACAACTTCGATCTGATTTTTGAAAATTCTTTTGGGTATTAAGTTCAGTTTTTGAATTCTTTCTGTATTCTGTACCTAAAAGACGCTGCTGCGGACATATTGTGAAGCTTCCAGCTCATTTTGATCCATTTTGAGTGATTTATGAATGTTTTAGTATTCAGTGAAGCAAACCTAAAGCAGCATATTCTCGAAAGAATAGACTTTCACTAGGATAGCCAACCTCTTTTGAAAAACAGATACTTCCAAGAGACCCGGTGCGGTTTATAACCATGCTGATTGAATTTATTAAACTATTAAATAGTTGCAATTTGTTCGAAGCTAAGTTGGATGAGCTAAATTTTAATTTTCTTTTGAAGTTGATGAGCGCTTAAGGTCAAGTAAAAGGTCTTATTTGACTTTCGGTTGTTGAATAGAAATAAGGTGTCTGTAAACTACATGAAAACACCCAATTTTAGAACCGAAGATCATACAAACGTGTTATTCAACTACATTAGAATTCTCTTCAGGATAGTTAAAGAACTTTCATCAGTTTATAGCTTTGAGATGTTGTTTGATTTGAGTTGATTGATTATTATGAGTGCGAGGGAATCGTTTGCAAGAATCTATAAGCCTTAGTTTCCTTTAATGTTTATTTAACCTTTTCTATAATCAACTACATATAGTACCAAGGGACATCTGTGTCTCGTGCATTTTAATTATCATCTCTTATTAACTATTATCTAGAGACTTCGTTATACCGTCAACTGTATCTCTCTTTGTTGTGATATTTCAATGTATCTTAAGAAACATTTCAGAACTGCTCTGCCGGTGTCTATCCTTTTTCTAATAAAAAATTCAGTTTGTTTTACATTTTGTAGCATCGGTTCTTTCGATTGTATTATGTATACGAACGTGCAGATATATATTGATATTCTTGTAGAAAAAGATGGATTTCAGCTTTCTCGAATAGGCATGTACTCTAAAAGATTAGACAATGATTATGAATTATTAGATAGATGAATTATTTTATAATGAACATATCTAGTGCTGTCAGATATTTATTCAGTTATTTTTCTAGCTTCATTTTATTTTCAATTAGTTTTCTTTGGATGGATTCTGAAGTCCATCAAATGAGATCTGCTTAGTACTGCGTCTCAATATTCAACCAGATATTTCCTGGAACAAGCGAAAAATGTTGAAATATCCGCTTACACGTGGAGCATAACATGTTAAAGATGTGCATATATTCCGAGCTTTTTGAACTGCACTTGATTAATAACCAAGTTGGCAATAATTAAGTGCTCTATAAAGAATTGACCAAAACGTTTTACGTAGAGCACACTACGTGAAAGTATACTCCGGTATATCGTAAGGTATGTGGTATCTGAAGTCTGTAATAACCCTCTACCAGTACGGAGGTTCTAACATATTGCAAGGGAAAAAACAAAATATTGACGATGACTCATTGTTTTCAAGGCGTTCGTTTTATAAACTTCCTTCAAATCTGTTAGAACGACGTCAAAATACTCAAAATATTTGTGGCGTGTTTCAACTAGTGCATTTTAACGAGTTGAAAGGCGCGTTTGAAAGGAAATTTTAAATATAACCTGTTATAATCCATTACTTTGATACGTCTTTCTTCAATACATTCGAACTAGTAACAAATTCGTTTTCATCACGTTAGAAGGCGTTATTTTATATTTTTTGTTTCGAATGCATTGGAGCTGTCGTTTAAATGGTGAAAGTTATTTCATGGATAAGCTAGCTAAAACTATCTCATTAGAATTCGAAGAAAAAGAAGTGACTGATATAAACAGACATTTAGTATCCCGTACAGATTCTGGCATATTTGCACGTATATGATAACAGTATGAACTAATATTGGTTTATATGATCTTCACAACATTCGTAACATTTGTTTGTGCATTTAGCAACAGATGATGACTACCTATGCTAGTTCGAATAATACAATATGAGCATGTGTTTATTAGTCAATGAAAACAAATGTTGAGGTGTGATTTTCTCGATGAATATTACCGTCATATTATTCATATTGATTACTTTTTATATTAATTGTTTTAGATCACAAAATATTTAGGCGGGACTATTGAATATTCAATTAAGTACAGAATGCGGATACACAATCGATGCTAAAATACAACTAGAAAGTCAATTTTCAGACGTTTGAGGAACAGATAATTTGACAGACATACGTCATCTGTTCAAATACAGATTTGTATTTCATGAAGGCAACACTATTCAAAGTATTCAAGCGAAAATACGATTTTAGTGTAACATGACGGTTAATTAATCAATAAACTATTCTACTATCCATTTCACATTAAAAGAAGCTGTCAGAGTATATCAAATAACTCCCGAACACGAGCACGTAGAGACTTGCGGTTTTTTGCAATCAAGAGCCTAGATAGGGGCTAGTAAACCTATAAAACAAAAATGGTTTTTGGTCTAAGCTTGAAGAGGTTTTGGAAAATATTTCTGGAAAGCTGTAGGTATTGAGAGGGTTCGAATTTTGAGTTTTTGTTTTTCACTCTACTGTACGATAGACCAAACATCACTCTACAACCTGACACAACTTCCAAGTCTTCCTCTATTGTGGTTCGGAGGCTATAGACAATCTCCGAGAACCTGCCTATCGGCTGAACCTAAATCCTGAGAAACTCAATAATATGTGGTACATACGTTTTCGGGCACGCTGAATCTCGTGGCAATGTTTGCTTTGTTGTCTGGATTAAAGAAACTTAAGGAGATGACTTTTTCAGAAAAATCAATTTTTCCGCTATGACCGTACTAAATTAAAAGGCCTCTATCACCTTCATTTTTAAACCAAATTGCTTTAAAACTCACTCAGTTTCGCCTGCTGAAAAATTGAATGCTCGTTAGAC